TTTCCGGTTTAACTTTGCGAAGCTTAAAACTTCTGGCCAGTTTGGGGAATTTTGTATCCGGATTTTATCGAGAATTTCGGCCGTTTTTCAAGTCATGAAGTTGAAGTGCAGGAGTGGCGCTAATCCCCGAATCCTGTTCTTTCAGAACACACAGAGACTTTAAAACAGGATTTCGATTTAAAGCCTCGTTTAATTTTTGTATACATATTTTCCAGAATTTCGATCATTTTTCATAGCTCGAATGCAGAAGAAGTTACCACAATCTTCTTTTAACATCTCCTGCTAATCTGTACACTCACAATCAATTACCGAAAATTCGAAGGTGAAAACTTTCGAACTCTAACGATCCCCGAAAAAAATTCAAAACGATAGAAAGTGGTGGTGAAAGCAGAATTTCGTTGGAAAGAGAGACGCCTCGGCACAATCCGATCGCAATTATCGTTTCACAGCGATTCGTTCGCTCCACAACCGGCCGCCCTTATCGTTCGTAACTTATCGAGATTCATAGAAAGATAAGGTTGACCTATAATAACGGGCGCGAAGTAATCGGTATCGCTGTAGAAATCGCGTGGGACCTCGTGATCGCCGGCCCGGAATCGAACTTCCAAATGCTTGCGCCGGTTGCGTAAGTGGCGGCCGCGGCGAACACGTCGAACGGTTGGCTGGTGCGCGTCAATCGGCCAGACATTTGCGAAAGAGCGAGAAAGACGAAGAATCTTGCGAAACACGTTTCCAAGTTTCGCTAACCCGGCCGCGCGGTTCATTCATAATCTACGGCGGCCAATTAAGCAGCCCGACCCGTGGTCGTCGTTGTTGATGGAAACGAGGGGAAGGGAAAAAAAAAGGGGGAGGAAAATAGTTACAACGTTGGATAGATGTATATAAACGTGGAGCAGGAAGTCGCAGAAACTGGATCTCGTTTCGCGATTTGAACGGTGGCCGCAAGAATGGTGGCCAGTGAGTGGCGGGGGAGGGGGTAAAGGACAGGCTGGGTTGGAAAAGAAGGAATCGAATGTTGAATGATTTAATTGTGCAAGGCTGGCTCGAGTTGGCAATCTGTCGCACGCCGTCTCGTTCTATCGATTGCGACATAAATCTAGCGGGGAGAAACGTTTTACCTCGAACAACAGGTATCTCTGTTGGGCAACGGCGTTATCTGAATGAATCCTAAGCTTGTCCGCGATTAGTAATAATTCTTTATATACACGTTATAAAAAAAAGAGAGATAAAGAATGAAAGGAAATTAATAAGATACGAAGTTACGAAGAATAGTTACGAAATTGAAAATGGGGATTCTTTATTAGAGGAGTTCGATATGGATATAAGGCATTCGCGATTAAAGGAAAGATAAAGAATGGAGAAAAATCCAAGTTCGTCGATGAAACGACGAAATTGTTCTGTTATGCAAACGAAATAGAGAAGTCTATATAATATAATAATTAAAATAAAATTACGAGAAGAATAGTTACAAAGTTCGTCAATAGAAATGGAAATTCTGTATGCAAAGAAGGCGAGAACTTCGAAAATATGTATAAATATGGAGGGAGACGGGCGAGAGGACGTTTCTTATTCAACGTGTGCATTGTTACACGAGGCGGCGTGCGTGAATTTCACGCACGCGATGGAATTCTTTTTTTCCGATCGAGACAGGGACGCGTGACGACGATCGGCGTCGCGTGAAGCCTGATTCATCGACTGGCACCGGACCGACCAGTACCGTACACCGTGTATTTTCAATGAAGCTGGTAGTTCCTGTCGATGACGCGCACCGCGAACGCTTCCAATTGCAAATGCGGCCAGGTATGAGGTCAGTTGTCAGTCGACAACTCGACGCCTGTACGAGGCAGATCGATCGTCCAAGACGCGATTCCTTTTTCTTTGCTTGCAATTTTCTACACGTTTTCGCCAACAGACAGAGTATTAATGGAGCAAGATAGAATACAAAGCGAGTATGGTAATGAGAAAAGAATGGAGGGTGGTCGATTGCAATGGACAATTGTAATTTTATTTTTATATCACTTCGTAAATATGTGTACGTAAAGTTGTTAGGAGTTGCAAGCAGATGTACAAATTCTTTCTCTGAGTAAACATATAAAATCAATCTAGTGTTTTTTTATATAAGATATGTTATATAAAATATTTTATAATGAAATCGAAGAAAGTAAATATCGGCATCTCAAAAATGTTGATCTCAGTAATAATATCTTGTTATTAGACTGCGAATGTTTATGCAAATTAATGTTTTTAAAAATATTGACTAAAAAAAAAATAGAACAGAAATTTATTTCACTCATTAAATATGATAATGAACGACTTTACTTTCAATACCTTTACGTTTGTTCTATACATTTCTTCATGTTTAAATTCTCCGCAACACACCTATTATATTTCACGTTTAAAGTATAAACTTCTATAAGTTATCAAATCGCACATTCGTGATTCTAAGCGAATGAATAGAGTTCATATAAGCGGAATTCCATTCTGAAGTTATATCATACATAGGTAATAAAAATGCAATGAAAAATGGGGGGAAAAAAATCGAAGGTGAGGTAAAACAGAGAAGGATAAACGAAAAGTCGATAGGTAAACGAAAATAATAACAGTCTAGAAAAGTCAAGCGTTCTGTCACGCTCCAAAAAGCAAGCGTCAATTACGCCATTTAATTGAGTGCAACAGGTGGCCGGTGACCGAGCTGATGCCGAGCAGCGAACGTCGTTGGCTGCCCCTTTTTCGAAATAATAAGTTTCCTGGGAACCAGTCGGACGCGTGTACCGAAAACGGAAGCGGCCGGTTCCACTCCGTTGCAGAGGGGCAAGTATACGCGACCAGTTTTCAGTGTTCGCGAGGCGTCCGCCTCCGGAGACGGCGATATCCAGAGGCAGTGTTAACATCTTCCTTGTCGACTCGTACGCGACCAATGAGTCACTTGTCACGATTTATCCGGAGATAAGGTGCGTTATGACGTAACGAGGATGCATCGTGATCGATGAACGTTGAGAGATTATCATTTCAAAGAAAAATAAAACGTTGAATTGAGATTAAGAAATACGTTATAGAGGTGATTTTTCAGAAATCTCGATATTTATGACGTAAATTATGATGATGAATCGATCAATGCTGGGATTATAGATTTCAAGGAAAAGAAGAAATTGAATTAAATAAAAAGAAATTAATAGAGGAAATTTTTCAGAAAACTTGAATGAATAGCTTTTCATCAATCAATTTTTGCTAAATTTATATTCTTCTCTGTAAGAGTTTAGAAAAGATTTTTGTGTTTAAAAAGATCAGGTGTCGGAGAAGAAAATTGAATCGTGCCAGTTTCAGGCCCTCAGACGAAAAAATTACAGTGGTCTCGTTGGAAGTTGTTCCCTGGCAACCCTTCATTACAAACGACTAGACACGCTGGTTTTCGTGTTCTGCGCTCGTAAATTTTGAACGGTCTCGTTGTTACTCTTCATCCGTTCCAAACTCACGGAACACGAAAAAATCGATGAGAAATTAAAGTATAAATATATCAATAAATTAGTTAAGAAATAATTGTCAAGGATACGAGGCTAATAATTCTAATGGCGACCTTGTAACACGGACGATTTAAAGAAACTTGTTTAGACCGTAATCGCGTCCTCAATGATAAGAGACAGTGAGTAATCTAAGCGCCATTTGAGCTCGTCAGAGCGCATTCCTCTTTCTTGAATCTGTTTGCATTCCTTGCTAATTAAAACTATCCCTTGTATTAACGAAGCTTTCGTGTCGCGAAGCACTTAGTCGAGAAACCAAGAACGCGCGAAAATCTTCTCGTATAACTAGTTCGAGATAGTTAATTTCGTGCTGCTGGTAGACGATCGAACCTTAGATAAGAGATGAATGTTGTACGTTAGCAAAATAAAAAATCTTACATCTGCTCTAATCGTTGCTACTTTTTGATTCTGTTATATCGTAATTTTCATTTTTTCCTTAAACTTGAAAATTTAATCGAAGAACGAAAATAAACCAGTTGAAAATTTAATCAGACAAGAAAGATATGCGTAAGATTTTGAAAATCATCATTCTGAACGAGATATAAAAAAGATCAAATGATCTTTATATCTTGGAAACTATGAACTCTTTGTTTCCAAGTCGATGTTAAAATCGAGATTGTTTCTAGATCGAATCAGTGACACTCTGATGAACACAGAGTTTCATCTTTCCGAGACCCAGTCTCTCGTGAAATATCGGCGAACAGTTATTCCATGGATAAACCGTTTCTCGACACAAACAATTTCCAGGTCCCAGTGCACAAGAAGAATCTTGGGAACCAGGACCGACACCTTTGTGAAAGGTTGTATTCGGGACGTTGAGCCCGTAGTTCGTCCATCCAAAGGAATCGTGAGCGAATCAACGACCACGAAAGATGAGAAAGCTTAAAAATTTCGCGTGTAAACTCACCGAGCACGGAGAGGCTGAGCCCGGAGCCTGGCCTCGGTGATCTGTGCCTGTCTGGGGGCGCCATGGCGTTGCTTCGAGCGGGTGTACGAGGCGCCTTAATCCACTGGTAGACTCGTTTCTCTCATCGTACAGTCACAAACACATTCACAATCGAATTCGTTCCTGAACACTGGAACGTGAATCCTTCGATGCTTTTTCGGTAATTTCTTCACGGATTCTTTTGAGGCTCGCGTTCGATCGCAAGAAACGCACGAGGATGTTCCTTCTTCCACCACTGATTTCTCATTTTATCTTTTAATCGAATAAAATAGCAGGATAACAGTTCCCGCGCGCGCGAGCGCGACCACGCCAAACAACGGGAACGAACTGTTGTATATGCGTGAAAATAAGCGTCATACACACAACGATATGCGCTCGACGAACGTTGGCCGAACACTGACTGGCAGACACGAGCACTCCACCTCGAGCACCGGTCGACTCGCGTGACGCCTGATTGGCTGATTGGTCGACCGGTCGACTGGCTTGACTGGATAGATGCTGGTTATACTCGACGACTTCTCGTCTCGATCCTCACGGTCGACTCTTCCGCCGAGTTGCTTCGATGTCTGGTCTTCGCGCGTGCGCATGCGCGGTTCCTCGATTCTATTGAGTCTTCTGCTCAAGAGCAACGGCTAGCCTGTGTATACTTGCGGCTCGAGAGAACTGTACCTTCTTTTCTTTCTCTTTTTTGTTTCTTCTTTTTTTTCTTTTGGAGGGAATTTTAATTGTGCCACTGAATATATAGGTCGATTCAAACAAAGTTATGGAAATCAGGAGGGACGAAGACACTTTCGAGAAAACCGGACTTGATCAAGGACAAAATGCTTCTTCCGTTGTCTTTTTCTTATATCGTTGCATAAAGTTTGTGTTTTTCTAAAATCTTCTCTAGAATCGTTTAATTTTTAACAAACGTTTTTAATAATCGTACTTTTCTAATGACTTTCTCGGATCTTGACGGATTTTTTGTGAGGTTAGAATTGTAATGTTGATGAAAAGAAAATTGTTTATTTTTATTCATGTAAGTATAAAGAAATCTATTGTTTTCAATGAATGACTGATATGTAATGACTATATAAAATAATATTTTATGTTAATAAAAGTATATTTTTCAAGATAAAAGGTAGGTAAATAGATCCTTAATTTCCTCATTCTGTATCACAATATTTCTCACTCAATATTTTTAATTGTCCGAACAAATCTGATAAAATTATATAGTTTATATTACAAATAATCGGTTTTATTTTCAGGTTTCCTAAGATTCGATCAGTGCTTGAATCCGCGACGCAGAAAACGCGTGCTTACGCAACGATCGCTCACTTATTTAATAAAACAAAGTTACGACTAGTATCGAGCAGTAATAGCACGCTCCGGGGAATGCTACTGTTGTTCACCCGTCCAATGGCGAGAAAAGTTGACACAGCCACTCGTTTATCCACCAGGCGTGAACGAGTCTACCACGTGTATGCAAAAGTTCTCTCGGAGTCCTTGCATAGTACGCATCGAGAATCAGGACACTTCAAAGGCTAATAATCTATGCATAGTGGACAGTGGAGTTACGAGCCGGTGTTATTCGAATCGTATCTTTCGGTTTTAACCCATGGTAATCCAACATTTGGCCCAACTATCCCTCGACTAACGGTCATACGTTGACTTAGGTCTGGTGCCTAACGAGGCCAACCTTATGTCCAAGTTGTTATTTTATAAGATATATTTCCGTTTACGAATTATGGATTAGATAATAAATTCTATAAGAAGTTGTAAGTTTATGTTATAGCTATGAAAGGCAACGTTTACTGGCTGTTAATATTATAAGGAAAATTGATTATGATTATACTATTGTTGTTACTAAAATAGATATGAATATACGTAAGTATTTTATGAATAGTAATAATGACGTGAGAATAAAAGTAAATAGTTGAAACTATAATTACCTAACTGTATTGATAAGTAGTTTCATTATATACCTTTGTTTATAAGTATATGGATTTTTCTGATAATTTTAATACTGGAATTACCAAATCAAAATTATATTTTTACAATTATTAATTGCAAAACATATTTTCGATAAAATTCATTAATGATTTCATAATATTCTTTAGATAAATATTGCGGTTAAGAAAATGTTCACATATTTATAGACTGATAAATATCTACTGACTTATAAACAGAAGCATGTCTATATTAAACATTACAGTCATTGAAAAATCTGAAAGCAGAAGACTGAAGTGGTTGGTAGAAACTCTAGTCCAAGGAGAATGATGATATGCGATCACGCAACCGCGGATACTCTCGTTCGCCCACAAGGTACTAACTGCGCGGCGAGTTAAAGCGGAAGTAGCGTTGAAAGGACGCGTTCGATTCGCGTACGCCCACCATGACTATCGGCAACACGCTAGGACAAAATTTAGAACTATTCAAAAATGCTTTAAGGCTTTCACGACTCGAGTTAATGCAATTACTTTAACTTCAAACTTCCTATATTGCGTCAGCATTAAAATTAAAGATCAAAAAAATAACTGTGCAACTAAAATAAATCCTACATCGATCATCTATATTTCGATAATTCGCAATTCTGAAAATACGTCAGTTTCAATAAATATCCTTTTTGGATTTACATTCGAAGTCTTAAATTGCAGCGATTACACTCGAAAATGAAACAAGAAGCACGGATTTCGCGAGATACCTATCGACTTAAAATCGAGGACATGATTCTGAGCGCATAAATTTGACGGAGACACGCCGCAGTTCGATTCACGAAGCAGGTGTAGCTCGGTCTAGGATTCAATCTCTGCCAATGCCCTCCCTCTACCATGCCACTTTCTACTTTCACGTCTGTTCGATATACACAATATCTGCATAATACACGGTTTGGCGAATGCGCATCGAAGAGGATTCGACGTGATCCTGTCGTGAAGAGGAGAGGATGATAAAAAGAAGGTGTTCCAGGAAACACGACCGATCTCTGCTGCATTCAGAACATTTCTCTATCCTTGCTCTGGCCGCCGATCACGAGAGAGCCGGACCGTCTGATCCTTTCTCGCCGCGAGTTCCTTCGAGGCGATGGCCCCTCTACGGGGTGACCCGATCTCTCGAGCGCCGCGACGAACAGGTTAAAGTAGCTCCTGAGGCGTGTGTATGTAAGTAAGCAAGTACTTATGTACGTACGAGCAGCCTACCACTCGGCCTACCAGCCGTATTATTACGTGTCGCTTTGCGGACCTTACGGCTCCCGTGTGCGCGCATGTAACAGGTTCCAGCCGCACGCAATGGTCGGCAAACTGCTCGCGGAAAGACTCGAAAAGAAATGACTTATGTGCGAGTTAATTTGAATCGAACAATGTTCAATTTTGAGAAAATTAACTTCGAAGAAAGTTTTGAATTTCTTAGTAAATATCATTTAAGATTTTCTCTATATAAAAATTGTATAAATAATCTATTTTTGTTATATACTGAAAGATTTATAGCAATGATAATATTATAGAATGACATCTGAGATATAATATCGAAGTGGAATTTTGTTTATAAAACATAAATTAACGAATAATACGTAATACTCAACATTCTCTCTCTACATTCCACATCACAACAAATACCATAGTTCAACCACAATTTCTATGATTCATGTACATAATTTATATTCTTTCAGCGGCTGGTCAAGAGGATTTTTAAACTTACCCCCAAAAGGACTTACCATTGACAGAGTTTGAAAAGCATCATAGTGGAAGGGTTGCAACAACGCATATGGTTAATATTGACAAAGCCAAATCCCGATGAAAAGCCAATCTTGAAAAGGTGTACAGCCGACTGTATATGCTTGCCTGAACATTTCTTCCCGAGGAAAAAAAGATTGGTCGGCAACCGAGAAGGGAGCTACGACAAATTAACTACGCACGATCCTGAGAGATAGCCGATATCGGTACCAGAGTATAGCGGATCCTGTGTACTGGAAGGCATGTGTGTGTTGTACCGTGCAAGTCGGTCCTTATACGGGTCTCGACACGAAGTTGGCTCTCCCTCGAGCAAAAAGAACCCTTCATGCCTTGGCACGACTTCGTGCCACGTTTTCGATGGACCGTCGAATACGCACGATACCGTGCATCCTGTGTTTCTATTTTTGAAACCATGGTACTAGTAATGGATATTCGAATTTCAACTTTGAAATGATTCGAAATTTTAAGACCGTGAAGATTTAAAGTAATGATTTCGTCAATATATATTTTCGTTATTTGAAGTGAATTGGAAATGAATTCCATCAGTAACTATGGCCAATTGAATATTATTGCCAGTCTTGGATGCAAAGTGCGAATAGTTCGAGCCTCGAGCTACGTAAATTCTAGGAAGAATCTAGTAGGTAATTGCCACGATGGAATATTCAACTTTTGAACGATGATCGAATTGATTATGGATAAGATCAATGTCGAACAGCGATGACCTATATAATTCTATGGACTCGCTTCTTTATTACAAGCCACCGCGGTAGAAGAAGCTGATCGAAGCTGTCTCGAAGCCATTAATTACCTCTGGCGTCACAATAGCTACCTGCACCTTCTAGGCAGGTAAGCTTCGACTAATACTCGACTTTCTTGTTCCTTCGAATCATCAACACGCGATTCTCTGGTCAAAGATCAACGCTAGTATATGATCTCTAACATTACAGGGTAAGAGAAGTTAATACTCTAATATGACTAAATCTATGACCAAATGTATTTCTAATATTCTGGTTAACACTTGCATATTGACTTCTTGGATTCACAAATTAAAGCTTTTTGGAAGCTAAATTTTTTTGAAGAAATCCGAATCTGAAAAAAAACGCATCGTGTGAAATGTTGGAGATAGTTTAAGAGAAAGATAAACCGCGCATAAAATCGTAGCAGTTAATCATGCGGTTAATCTTTTACGTCCAATGCAATAAAATATCGAGGATGTCGATTCAAAAATGGCGGAACATCTGCCGGCAGGGAGATTTTCAGGGAGAAGAGCGATTCGCGATTAAAAATGACGCATTCGTGGCGAGGTGCTCGTTTAATTACCGATGCTCGTTCCAGCGTGGGCTCTCCGGCTTCGTTGCACCGCCACGGGCCCGATCCCGGTCCGCCCACCCGCATCCGCCACACTGGCCTACGTGCAAAGGTGCGATAAACACACCTTTGTAAGAGTACGTAGTACGTAACCGTTGTCCACCGATCTGCGTCGCTCTTTAGCTCCGCGTTTTTCCGTATACCATTCGACTTTCGCCGTTTAACGCGGTACTTGATCCTTTTCACTCGATATTCAACAATATTGAATCTGTGAAATTGTATAGGAGACAGGTAAAATAGATTATTTTACAAAAAAAAAAAAAAAAATGGTCAATCGTTAAGATTTGATAAAAAGATTTCTTTCAGAATTCTCTTATAAAGAAATTTATAATTTTTTTTTTATAAAATTTCGGGAAAAGAAATTTCATCTTCAAAGCTCTCTTATAAAATTCTTAAGAGAATTTCGATTTAAAATTCTTCCCTCCTCTCTCTCTCTCTCTCTCTCTCT